GGCTCTTTGTTCACTCTTCAATAATTTAACTTCCCTGCTAGAGCTCCAATTGCAGGAGCAACAAGGCAGCTGCTGTGGGAGCTTCTGGGCATCCAGAGCCCCAAAATATGGACATGGCCTACATATCTTGGTGTTTTTCAGGTGTTGGCATCCAGCTCAACTCATCAGGAAGATTCCTGTGCTGAGGGAGGTGTTTCCCAGCAGGATAATTCTCCCTACCAGGATCTATCAGCTACTGGGACCAACTTTGTGGCACCTGCTGAAACCATCCCAGCAAGGGCAGATTGATAACCACATCAGGGCTCAGATTCCTGATCACAGAACAATAGAATCATCAAGCTTGGAAAAGACCTCTAAGGTCATCAAGTCCAACTGTTGATGATGGTTGATCAAAACCCTATGGCAATTCCAGCTGTCACTGCCCCTTATCTTAGAATCCCAGACTGGTTTGGGTTGGAAGGACCTTAAAACTCATCTCATCCCACCACATTCCATGTTCAGGGACACTTCACCAGCCCAGGCTGTTCCAAGCCCTGTCCAGCCTGGCCTTGGACACTTCCAGGGATGGAGCAGCCACAGCTTTTCTGGGCAACCACTGAATCAAGCAGAACCTTCCCAAGGAGGTGAAAAAAGAAGCTTCTGCAGCAGTGGAGCCTGTTGGAACAGGCAGCACAGGAGCAGAGCTGGTAAATCCTTCCACCTACTGCTCAGCCCCACACTGCCTGGTGTAGGTGGAAGCCCAGAGCAGTCAAATGGCTCTCAAGGAAGTTCTTAGTGGCTTTTTTTTTTTTAATTTTCTTTATTTATTTAGAAACCCACATGGAGAGAGGAAATTAAACCCACAAACCTACATTGAAATAACATCAAGGATCAGGCTGGAAAGGGCAAAAGCAAAGGAAGTGCAGTGCTTGGGCTGAGGGTTAGCAGGGGGAAGCAAGAAAAAAGCAGCAAAATGCACTGAATTTCATGCTTCCCCTGCTGTGTTTTCACATGCTTTGCAAGACAAGTAAAACTCATTTCAATAGAGGAATTTGTGCTGCTTTATGTCTCTGACTCTGCACATGACTTCCCAGAAGGAGAAAAATGCATCCAAGCACAAATCTGAGAGCAAGCTCAGGGCCCAAGAGGCTGAGAAGGAGGAGTGAGGCAGAGCCACCTCCTGATTCCCCATCAAAACAAAGTCTCCTCTTACCCCAGGATACTCAGGCAGACCTTCCCATTGCGGTAGAAGTTGGGGTTAAACCTCACTGTGTTATTTCCTGTAGTCATCAGTTTGACCCTTGGGGGGTGGATGGGATAATCTGGAGGACAGCGAAACAGGAACAAGAAGAAACCCCCTTCATAAGGCGTGTCAAAGGGGCCTGTGATCAAGGCATGAATCTGGAAAACAAAAGCCCATCTAGGCACCACTTCCACATTGGCCAACACCCACAGAGCTTTCCAAAGCCAACCAAAGGCAAGGAATCTCCCCCCAGGAAGCCTCTTCCCCCTCCCCACCCAGGGACATGTGCAGCTTCCCCCTCCCTCCTCCCCTCCCCTGCCACAGCCTCTCTGCACACTTCTGTCCCACACTCCATGTGCACAGCAGGTTTGGCCCCAGTCCAGGACAGCTGTGTCCCAAACAGGGAATATCATGGAATGGGTTGGCTTGGAAGGGACATTAGAGATTCAGTTCCACTCCTAGGGACACCTTCCACGAGACCAGGTTGCTTCAAACCCTGTCCAACCTGGCCTGGAACACTTCTAGAGGGATAGGGGAACACAGTCAGGGGATGGGAATATCCCACCATGGCCAGGGCTCCTCTGGCAGAGCTGTAAGAGCTATTCATAAAATCATGGAATGGGTTGGCTTGGAAGGGACATTAAAGACCCAGTCCCATCCCCAGGAACACCTTCCAGTAGCCCAAGTGGCTCTAAGCCCTGTCCAACCTGGCCTGGAACACTTCCAGCAGCCACAGCTTCTCTAGGCAACCTGTGCCAGAGCCTCATCACCCTCACAGGGAGGAATTTCTTCCCAATATCCAACCTAAACCTAGTCACTTTTAGCTTGAGCCATTCTCCCTTGTCCTGTCACTCCAGACCCTTGTCCCAAGTCCCTCTGCAGCTCTCTTGGAGCTCCTTTAGGCACTGGAAGGGGCTCTAAGGTCTCCCTGGAGTTCTTCTCCATGGGAACACCCCCAGCTCTCCCAGCCTGGCACCAGAGCAGAGATGCTCCTGTGATCAGCTCAGTGGCCTCATCCAGACTCATTCCAACTCCTCTGGACTCTTTCCTGTGTTGAGAACCCAGAGCTGGATGCAGCACTCCAGGTGGGATCTCACCAGAGTAGAGGTGAAGAATTCCCTCCCTCAACTTTCTGCCCACACTGCTGGGGAGGCAGCCCAGGCTCTCTCCATCCTACCCTGCCCCTGGTTCAGGTGGCAAATTAGGCTTAAAACCACTCAGAAATACTTCAAATATGAAAAAAAACCCCATCTAATTTTAGAAAGCGAAGAAAAAAAAATTATCAGAATTTCTGCCAAAACTGAAGCATTCCTCAGCTCTCTGTTCTTGTGCTGATTTGGTCTTATTAAAACCAATCACTCAACTTCCTCTGCCAGGATCTGAAATTAAGAGCCTATTCTCTCCATGCTAATTACCCTCAAAGATCCCAATTGTATACCAGGAAATCTACTCCCTTTGGGCTATTAAGGAAGCTTTACTCCCCCAGTGATCCAAGCAGCCTCTGGTAATGATCCTCTTACCTCCCCAGATTTCAGTTCAAAGCCCCAGGGTTGGTGTTCTACAAATCCACATTGCTGTTCCAGGGCATTTTGGCAATCTGAGGCACCAACAGTGCAGGGAAGTGCCCCAGGTGGGAGTTGGTTGTGCCCACACACTCCCTTTGTGTCCACTCCAAACACCCAGAGGGTTCTAAACCACTGACATGGGGGGAACTTGGGGGGTTGGCAGGGGGTGGGAGAAGTGTGCAGCAGAGGGAAAGCAAAACAGCCTCATACACACACCTCAGGGACCAGCAGGACCAGCTCAGGTGGCACTGGCTGGAGAAAAAGCCAAACCCACACTGGATCAAGAGGTTTGAGTAACCTCCTGCCTCTCAGCTCATTGATGTAAGGAGAAATTCCCAGTTGTGGAAAAGCCTGGAGAGGAAGAATCAGGGCAGGAGAGGCTGTGGAGGACAGGAGTGTTGTCACACCTCCTTGGTACCTGGGAGTTCTCCCTGCCAGCTCCCAGCAATTAACACCTCCAGGTTCCACAGATGATTAGAGATACTCCACCACTGCCTGTCATAGTGGACACCTGATTTCCAGCTGCTCCTGAGAAGGTCCCCATGGCCTCCAGTTTTCCATGTTTCCCTTCTTTGAGATGCTGCACTGACTGTTTTCGAGCCTCAGTAAGAATGGAATCAGCTGGATCAGCATCTCACTGTCCACGGGACAACCCAGGCAGAGCTGGATCATCTGTGGAAGCTCCTCAGCCTCCTCCTGCACAGTCAGTTTCCTTGGGAGTCTCCTCCCATCTCAATGGCACCAGGAAAACTGGAGCCTTGTGCCCTTGCAAGACTCCCTCTGACTTCTCTGAGAACATTAAGGGAATATTCCATTTGGGAAACCCTCACAGCAGCAATCAACAGCAACATATGGAGAAGCAGCAAGTTGAACCAGCTCCAAATCTTCTCTTACCTTGGTCATGTCGTGGGGATCAGGCACAACAAACATTCCTGGGGGAGGTTCCTTGTAAATGGACATGATATCCCTGAAAAAAGGAAACAGGAATTAGTCAAAATCTTCCTTGGCAGCACTCAATGAATCAACCCAAGAGACACCACCCCAAGCACACCTTGGCTAACTTTCACCTGTGTTTCACCACAGATCACCTCCAGCACAGACAACTTCAGCCATAAATTCCCCTCAGGTGGTTGTTTCAAAGCTCTCTTGGGTGAGGTTTGTTGTTGAAAGGATGAACTCTCCTTCCCTAGGCTTTTCCCTCTTCACACTCAGACTGTTTACAGAATCCCTTCTGTGCTCAGTCATTTGTTTTCCCTAAACCATGACTCAACCACTTCTGAGAACATTTTGCTCTGCCCAATTTGGGGTTAATTAATCAGGCAATGGGTTCCAGAGTACTCAGGGTGCACCTAAACACACAACTTGACTCCAGTGGTCCTCTAAGACCTCAGCCCAAATGAACTCAAACCCAACAAACCAGCTACAACTCTGTGCAGTTGACAGATAAACTGTTCAATTCCACCACCCAAAACATCTCTCTTGTAATCAGAGCAGTGCTGAGCTCCAGGACAAGCTCCCACTCAACCTTCCTTCCCATTTGGGAAGCAACCAGAGCTCAGGGAGATTTCAAGGTGAGAAGTGTGAGAGGAACAGGAGAGTCTCTCCCCTCCCTCCCTGCCACAGGGAGCTTTGGGTTGGAAAGTTCCCAAATCTCTGGTGCCTTCTTTGGGAGACATTATACAAGCTCCAAACAAGGATGAGCAAGAGCCTGGCAGGCAGTGATTCCTGCTCTGAAGGAAGAGGAAGAACTTGTTGAATCAGTGCCAACCTTTGGAACATTACCACATCTCCCTGCTCCTTCCAGCAAAGGGGATCAGGCTGGACCAGCTGATCCCTCACAGGGTCAGAGCAGCCAGACTGGGCACCAGCAGGAAGGAGAATGGCTAAGGGTGGGTTTTGTATAAGTATTTGAGCTTGATCATCAGTGGATCAAGAAGTCAGTTCCCCTTCCAAGTTTAACAGCACCAAGGAGCTGCCAATGATCCCAAAGGCAGGATGAGGCCATGCACCAAAAAACTCTCCTGCCAACCTTCCCAGCAGCATCTGAGGGAGAAAAAGAGACCACAGAGGGACCCTTGGGCTAGGAGGTGAGACTCCATCCTCCCCCAAATACTTGGGCAAGGAGATTCCAGGCCAGGCACTCCAGAAGGTTAAAGCCAGGCTGGACAGGGCTTGGAGCAACCTGGGCTAGTGGGAGATGTCCCTGCAGGGGGTTGAACTGGATGAGCTTTAAGGTCCTTCCCAAGCCAGTCTGGGATTCTATAATTCCAGGGTATGATAGGGACTAGGGTCTGTGCCCAGGGAAGCCTCAGGACATGGGGAGGAACCAGAGTCTCTCCCCAGGAAAGACCTGGGGCACAAGGAGGGACTGGGGGCTGTTCTCAGGGCAATTCCAGGACACAGAGAGGGCCTGGGGCTCGTTCCTAGGGAAACTCCAGGACACAGAGAACATCTGGGGCTCGTTCCTAGGGAAACTCCAGGACACAGAGAAGATGTGGGGCTTGTTCCCAAGGAAACTCCAGGACACAGAGAAGGTCTGGGGCTCGTTCCTAGGGAAACTCCAGGGTACAGAGAAGGTCTGGGGCTTGTTCCCAAGGAAACTCCGGACACAGAGAGAGCCTGGGGCTTGTTCCCAGGAAAGACCTGGGACAAAGGGACGGACTGGGGTCGGTCCCCAGCACACAGGGATGGACTGGGGTCG